CAGCACTAGGGCAGCAGCCGGTAGGGCAACTTGGCATAGAGGGAGAATCTTAAGTGTCTGGCATCACAACAAGTGCCAAGTGACAGCTTCCTCTTGGACAAAACTCCAAAGGCCAGTCAGTAGCCACTGTCCCTTTTCAGACCCCTCTCCTACACAGAGCCACAGAGTGGTAACACCATATCTGAGACTCCATCAGCCTGGTTCACATAGGTTGCCCTGCCCTGGTGATTACTTAAGGTTCTGCCCAATTCAACTTATGGGTGCACTTTTCTACAATGGGCCACACTACTAAGAGGGAGAGTCAAAGCAGCTGTACCTAATACATAGAAACAAACACAGAGAAGATTCCCATTCCAAAATGAGAGTACAAAGAAATATGACCCAAATGAAAAAAAAAGAACTAAACAAAATGGAGATAAGCAATCTATCAGATGCAGAGTTCTAAACATTGGTTATTAGGATACTCAAGGAACTCATTTGGTACATCAACAGCATAAAAAAGGCCCAGGCAGAAATGAAGGTTACACTAAGTGAAATAAGGAAAAAATTAGAGAATCAACAGTGGAGTGGATGACTCCAAGAATCAAATCAATAATTTGGAACATAAGACAAGAAAACCTATTCAATCAGAACAAGAAGAAGAAAAAGAATTTGAAAAAATTAGGTTAGGGCAAAGAGCCTCTGGGACAATTTCAAGTATACCAACATTTGTATCATGGAGTTCCAGAAAAAGTACAGAAAGAGCAAGAAATTGAAAGCTTATTTGAAAAAATAATTCATGAATATGTCCCTAATTTGGTGAAGGAAATAGATGTGCAAGTCCAGGAAACAGAGTCCCAAACAAGATGGACACAAAGAGAACCACACCAAGACCCATCATAATTAAAATGCCTAAAATTAAAGATAAAGAGAATCTTAAGAGTATCAAGAGAAAAGCAGAGAGTTCCCTACAAAGGAATTCCTATAAGACCGTCGGCTGATTTCTCACAAGAAACTTTGCAGGCTAGAAGGGATTGACAAAAAGTATTCAAAGTGATGAAAAGCAAGGACCTACAACCTAGATTACTCTACCCAGCAAAGCTATCAATTAGAATTGAAGGGCAGATAAAGTGCTTCCCAGATAAGGCCAAGTTAAAGGAGCTCATCATCACCAAGCCATTATTATATGAAATGTAAAGGGGCTTATTTAAGAAATAGAAGATTAAAACTATGAACATTTAAATGGCAATAAATTCACAACAATCAACAACTGAACCTGAAAAAACTAAAGAACATGTATGAATGACCCACAGACATGGACAACAGTGTGGGAAATGACTATAGAATTGGGGTGGGGGAGGGTTGGATGGGTGGAGGAAGACAAAGGTGGAAAAATTGGGACACCTGTAATAGGAAAAAAATAAAAATGATAAAAAAGGATAAGTATTTGATTTTAAAAATTAAAAAAATAATAAACAAAAAAGAAAACAAGCAAAACAGAAACAGAATCATAAATAGGGAGATCATTTGGAGGGTTATCAGTTGGGAGGGGGAAAGTAGAGAATGGGGCAAAGGTACAGGGATTGAGAAGTACAAATTGGTAGGTACAGAATAGACAGGGGATCCTAAAATAGTGTAGGAAGTGGAGAAGCTAAAGGACTTATGTGCATGACCCATGGACATGAAATAAGGGGGGGGGGGGGAATGCCAGAGGAAATGGGGGATACTGGGTGGAGGGAAGCTAAGGGGGAAATTGGAACTATAATCACATAATTAATAAAATATATTTTTTAAAAAAGAAAGAACTATCTTCTGCTAATATCAAACACTGAATGCTTTTGAAAATTGGCTTTTACTGTGGACTTCATGGTGAATGCCACCTAAAATTACAAGGCAAAAGAATGCTTTTGTGAGAAACTTATACTGCAGTAATGCCATTTGACTAGTTGTCAAAATGTAATCACATGTAATGCCATGCTTCAAAAGTTAGAAACTTAAGCGAGATCTCAATTCTCACACATATTTACAGCAGACAATTTTTGAACTCAAAGTATGCCCCCAGCAGCATTTTTATACCTCACTGTAAATTGATAGACATTTGCATATTTAAAAATCTATTACAATATGGCATTGAGGAGCTCCATCTATCTCCAACTGAAAATAATCTGCAATGTAATACCATATTAAAAGTAAACAGCAACAAAAGACTCTAACAGAATTCTATAAATACCTTCTAAGTGATGAACATGCTCTATTAAAAATTATATATTCATAAACTCCTATTAGTATTTGGTAGTATCTATCTTTGTGAAAAGAAATTTTCCAAGATAAAACACATAAAATGTCTTTACTGATCAATATTACACAAATGAACTTTTGCAACTGATTTTGCAAATTTGATAGGCAACACTAACTTTAAAAAAAGAACCTTTCTTTTTAATTTTGTAATTTTTTAAAGATTTTGTTTATTTGGTTTTAGAGAGAGGGGAAGGGAAGGAGAGAAATATCAATGTATGGTTACCTCTCAAGTGCCCCCCACTGGGGACCTGGCCAGCAACCCAGGCATGTGCCCTGACTGGGAATTGAACTGGCAGCCCTTTGGTTCACAGCCTATGCTCAATCTACTGAGCTACACCAGCCAGGGTGGCAACACTGACTTTTTACCCCAAGTATCACTCCCACAAAAAAATAATTCTCATTAATAGACCTGAATTACATACATAGGCCCACACACATACTCAATTATTATTTTAATTTCTGAATTTGTCATTAAAAATCTCCTGAAAAAAATTTTCTCTCTTGTTATATAAATACCTACACCTGATTTTGTCTCATAGCCTTAAAGCCCTAAAATAGTAACTATTTGGCCTTTTACAGAAAAGTTGCTGCCTCTTGTTGCAGCATAGGCATAATAAATTTCCTTCAAGGTATAAACAAAATTTTGTTTCCATTCCCCTTGTTCATCTATTCTATTTCTTGTCCAATTCTGGTAGGTAAATAGAAAAAAAGAGAAAAAAAATTTAAATTACCTTGAGAGGAACAATAATGCAATTTTAATTAAAATCTATGTCAACAGTTGTGCTACGTCTAAAACACACAATAAAAGTAGGCTGAGGAAAAATTGGAGTAAAAGGAGGAAATGGCACTTCAAGTGAAAGGAAATAGATGTGTGAAAACATGGCATAATGAAAGAGACCTGAAAAATTGATGATGACAGGTAGTAAAGGGCCTTACATGCTAAGCTAGGGAGTCTAGATTCTCTCCTTTAGGAAAGGAGAGACAAAAGAGAATGTTCTTAAAAAAGAAAACCAAAACAGCAGTGAGCTAGCACAGAGAGAGGCTGTATAAAAAAATTCTATTCGTGGTCCAAATGAGAGACACTGGATTAGGGCTACAGCTCTCATTGTTCCCTCTTCTAAACTTCAAGCCCAAATGTTTATGCCACATTTGTAGTGCTAACCAACCAGATCCTGACACACTAGTTAACAGTATACCTGAAACCTATATAACTTTATTGATTAATGTGACCCCAGTAAATTCAATAAAGAAGAAAAATATACAGCCAATACCCTTTTGTTACAGTCTGCTCTCCTTCTTCCACAAAGCCTAATCTTTCTTCCACGTAACACTCTATGGTGGGAAGAATCCTAAAGGAATCCTGATGATTCCCAATCTCTGATGCTCATACCCTGTATACTCTCCTACCCTTCAGCATGGGCATAACCTGTGGTTTACATGCAGCCAACAGAATACAGCAAAATTAAAAGGATTTTGCAGAGGTAATTTAGGCCCCAAATCAGTAGACTTTGAGTTCATTACAGTGGAGCTTTGGACAGACTTCAGCCAATAGCCAGCAAAAAACCATGGCCCTCAGTCATATAACCACCAGGAAATGAATTATGACAACAATGTGAATTAGTTTGAAAGCAGATTCTCTTCCTTAATCAAGCCTCCAGATAAGAGTACACCTTTGCCAACACCATGATTGTAACTTGTGGGGCCCCAAGTAGATCACCCAGCTACACTGTCTAGACTCTGGACCCACAGAAGCTGTTCTTCAGACTATCAGTTATCTTTTCTATAAATTGTTTGCCACTAGGCTTTTTATGTTGTAGATTAAATTTGGTTACCTGTAACACTGTTCCTTCCTCCTTTATCTGCTTGGCAAACTCGTACTTCTCATTTATGTTTGCTTCTTCTCAGAGATCATCCCTAACTCCCTACCTTTCAGGAAAATGAAGTCCCTCTCACCTAGTTTTTCAGAGATGTTGATATGTTTTCATAACACTTGCCAGTAGTATATTATAGATACTATTTATACCAGATTGCACGCTCCATGAGAGAGAAATAATCATCTTTGTAACCCAGTGCCTAGGGTAGAGAGTGGCTACAAAAATTCAGTAATGTTTACTGACTTAAGTGAAAGGCAATAAAGAATGACAGTAAGACAGAATGCACAAAAATGTATAGATTACCTTGTCCAATTCCCTAAATGTTGTTTTGCCCACCCAAGTACCTTTAGGTTGTATCCTTTTAATTTTATAAGTAATGTTACAATTTCTCCACCTTTAATAGAGTAGAAAAACAAGACCAGAGAAGTAAGATTTACCCACCTTTAAGCAGCAGAGTTAAATTTTGAAAAATGATAGTAATTTTAGGTTCAACCCTTTCTACTATGGCAAGGCTGTATAATAACATACTATTATAACAAGACTCTATAATCTAGTAGGCATCTTAAAGTTTCATAATGTCACAGAAATAAGTCTTTTGTATAAAAAAATATTATTCCAAAAAGAAATTTTGGGTTTAAAAACTAACTACCCTCTAAGTATTAATTATATGAGGGCAATTTCAGAATCACATACCCGGGGTTGAAGGTATAGAGGAAAATGCACAAAATTTAGTCAGTCTTGTGAATATAATAAGATAATTTTGACAACACAAGGGAAACATAAAGGTTTAGGAAGTGTATCATGTGATAATCTTTTTTAAGTGAGACATGCAAATGAAAACCTATTTACCTTAATGATTCAGATAATGGTGTTAAAGTGCCATCTCCCCTATCTACTACACGAAAGAAATTCAATTGCTCTCCTTCTCGGTATACCAAAAATGTAACTTGTTTATTGTAGGAGGTCTTCTCCCAGGCTTCATCTCGACTGGAATCCATGTACTCAGCCATCTCCCTAAGTGGGTCATCCATAGGAACTACAAATGGAAAAATTGATAAACAAGCTTTCAATTTATATCAAGTTGTATGCATCTTGGTACAGTGACAAGATAAAATGTGATGCATTTGTATACAGCCCTGTGTATACATATATACATGATATTCTCCAAAGAATTTTCTGGTCTTTTATACTTAATACCACATTCCTTATGTTGTATTAATAAGAAAGAAATTAAATGCATTGTTATGTTTTTATGTACAAAGATACATGAGGTCTTTCCTCTACCACTAGAGTCTGTATATTTGTTGATTCTATGACATAATTAACTATGATTTTTATTTGACACCTCTACTTCCTATATTTTCCAAAATTGGTTCAATCAATAATATAAATTCCACTTACTTTAGATTTAAAAAATACACATAATTAGGAGACATATTAGAAATGAGAAGCAAGTGAATCCCTCTTTTTCTTTCTGATCTTATACAGAGGCTGATTTTCTTAGAGCTGTTTCTTGATGTGCAGTTAGGTAATTAAAAATACACAATAATACAGAAACAAGGGGGCCATTTATGTACTAAAACTGCAGTGTGTGTAAGGGTCAGAATGTTGTTTCTTTTTTTAAAGATTTTATTTATTTTTAGACAGAGGGTAAGGGAGGGAGAAACAGAGGGAGAGAAACATCAGTGTGTGGTTGCCTCTCTCAGGCCCCTGATTAGGGACCTGGCCTACAACCCAGGCATGTGTCCTGACTCGGAATCGAACTGGTGATCCTTTGGTTCACAGGCTGGCACTCAATCCACTGAGCCACACCAACCAGCCTCTGGTTGGTTGGCAGAATGCCGTTTCTTAAAAGGACCCCAATTGTCCTAGAATATATCCACATGTCCAGTCAGAGCATGAGGACTGGAACAAAACCCTCACTACTGGCAGGCTCTAGAAGTCTGAAGATGTTCTCAGGTTTGAATTATATTGCAACCATGATTATAGCCCACTCTTGTCCACAGCACCCACAGGTTCCACTCCTGTGGTAGAAATGGTCCTGAAGAGATTGCTGACTCACAGGGTGAATGTTCTAAAAGCCCCTGAACTCCAGAGTTGGTTGTCTAAGTAATGGTTACAGGAAGATAAAAAAGTTCATTCGCAAAGACATTTTCTGTCAAGCTGAAAAAACATTAGCGCTTTCCTAAAATAGCCAACAATTTCGGAAGCTGCGTAACTCTCATTCAAGTAGCTTATTATTAACAGAAGCACAGTGCTGTACTACCCTTTTAAAAAGTTACTACTATAAGAAATATTAAACACTGAAAGTAACAAGGTAAAAACATTAAAGATTTTCCCATAGCCTAAATTCAATATCACCACTACTAAAATACAAAAAACTTTTGAAAATAAAATTTTTATAAAAATGTTTGAATGTTTTGATTGACTCTTTCATAGGCACAAAATGCATAAATATTAAGACATTTTTAAAACAAGTTTTTTTTCTTTTTTTATTACTTTATTGTTGTTCAATTGCAGTTGTCTGCATTGTCTCCCCACCCCAGCCAAACATACTTACCTCCCTTGCTTCTCCCCTCCCCCTTGGTTTTGTCCATGTGTCCTTTATAGTAGTTCTTGAAAACCCTTCCCCCCATTATCCCCTACCCCTTCCCTCTGGCTATTGTTAGATTATTCTTAATTTCAATGTCTCTGGTTATATTATGCTTGCATTTTTCTTTTATTAATTATGTTCCAGTTAAAGGTGAGATCATATGGTATTGTAGCCATTGTGGAAAACAGTATAGAATTTCCTCAGCAAACTAAAAATGGAACTGCCTTTTGACCCAGCAATTCCACTACTGGGATTATACCCTAAGAGCCCTGAAACACCAATCCAAAAGAACCTATGCACCCCAATGTTCATAGTAGCAACAATTTACAATAGCCAAGTGCTGGAAGCAACCTAAGTGCCCATCAGCAAATGAGTGGATCCAAAAACTATGGTACATTTACACAGTGGAATTCTATGCAGCAGAGAGAAAGAAGGAGCTTATATCCTTTGCAACAGGGTTAAAACAAGTTCTTACCAGTTTTAAGTTAATGCTGTATTCACATTACATTCACAAAAAATATAAGAACTGTGCTACTTCAATTACTAATGCCACATGAAAGCCTTATTTAAATCGATGTAGTGTGCCTTGCTTAGGGAGGCACCAGGACTGAATATGTGTATGAACATATGTGCATGTATGCATACATTTTAACAGAAAAATCATTTAGATTTCATCAGGTATAAATTTACTTGTAGATAGGAAAGTATTTTCTATGGTGTTTTGATAATGGTTAATTCAAAAAACAATTTTAAAGGCTAAATATCACTGGAACTGAGGTGAAAAAGCTACTTTCTGAACCAGAAGTTTCAAGACTAAATAACTAAAAAAAATCTTGTTTCTCAAATACCATATTGAGAAGTTTTAGATCTGGGTTCATTTTTTTCACAAAGTTTTTAATATGGAACATAGACAACATCAAGTTTTTAATTTTAAAAAAGTTGATTCAGTAAATGTAAAATTATTAAAAACAATTTAAAATATAAAAAACAGACAAGTTCTAGGTTCTGATTTGTCAACTTACAAATAAGACACAGAAATCTGTAGCAAAAATACTATCAAGAAGTTCCAACTATCCAAAGGTATGATGTCTTTCATTTTTTAATTTTAAAAATACATACATTTTTAACTCTGAATCTGTAGCACTTATACTTCTCATAAACATAAAATAATTGTATTCCTAGTAAGAAAAGTAGGTATTCTGATTAAAACTCTGGTTTAAATAAAATACTATATACAAATAACCAACGTTCAAAAATATAATACAATGGAGTTCACATGTCATTAAATACTAAATAATTCTTTTTTATAATAATGACTCAGTAAATGCTTTAGGGGTTCTCGTACTATCTTCAAACTTGATACTATAAACATCACTTCATGTCAAATAGGACAATTTTATAAGTCCAATTAATAGACAGTCCTAGATATTAAGAGTGCTAACTAACCAGCTTTAATATATTATCTTCATCTTTTCTAACCTATCCAAAATATTTAAACAGCAAAAGTCACCTATCTCACAAAATCCTCTTGAAATAGTTAGGAAAAAGATGGTAATATTGATTGCTTTATTTTCTTAACTAAAATTTGAAGCATGGAGATAAAAATTTGACCTGTGCAAGAAATAAACCAGCAGTGGAATCTATAATTAACTATAATTAAAATTTCTGATTAAAGAAGGCTCAAACAAATATGAAGGCCTTCCCCCAAACGATGGCTGAGCAGTCTAAGGATGCCTCTTTTTGGTGGGGATTCATGTGGCATATCTGATTTAGGGACCAATGTAAACCTTCCAAGTTCTTCCCATGCTTAACTTTCTTGTTAGTAAAGTCTCTGCTCACATCATCTTTTCACAAGATCCTTCCACAATCATCCTCCTACTTCCTTGCTTCCACAGACTCTATCACACTATCCTATTTCCTCCACAACAGTTACAACTGCTTGAAATGATATTGATTCTTTACACATTTATCGTGGACATTTTCATGAACTAGGGACATTTTCTCCCATAAAACACAACATCTAGTACATGCTCAAAATGTATTTCCTGCATGAATGAATGAATGAATGAATGAACGAACAAACTCCCAGAGACTGCTCACATTCTGAAAAAGGATTCAACAGGGCCATGATAATATCTATGAAACCCAAATATATCATAGACCAGGCTAATAGCAGGCATCATGGAAGTTTCAATAAAAATTATTACCCCAAGAATTAAAGAATCAGTGGATAAGAAAAGCAATAAGACTGGAGTGAACCTAAACACAATGACAACATATTTATACTATGCCATCCCATTTCCCTTCCCTATGTTGATGAGGTTTGTTTTTTAAATCCCTCTGGACTGAGACTTTCTGGAATATAAATTCCTGTCTCTATTCATTTAGGCTTTAAAGAACAATATGTAGAAAACAAACAAACAAACAAACAAGTGGTTCTTTTAAAACCTAATAGCAGAAAGAAAACCTTACTACAATATATAAAAATGCCAACTGGTAGCCTGGCTGGCGTAGCTCAGTGGATTGAGCGCGGGCTGCAAACCAAAGTGTCCCAGGTTCGATTCCCAGCCAGGGTACATTCCTGGGTTGCAGGCCATAACCCCCAGCAACCGCACATTGATGTTTCTCTCTCTCTTTCTATCTCCCTCCCTTCCCTCTCTAAAAATAAATAAATACAATATTTAAAAAATAAAATAAAATAAATAAAAAAAACACCAACTGGCTTGAAGATTGATATTGTCAAATTGCTTTAATATACATAATTTTAACATACGCCTACCTCTTCTAGTATTTATAGGTCCACCACGTATAGCCAATACCAGCTTCAAGGTACAGCCTTCTGAAATGCTGTGGATAGTTAACACAAAAATAAACTACAGTCATCAAAATGCATTAATTGATAAATATATAGTATGTACTTCTTTAGCAGGCATAGTGCTACTCCTCTAAAATATAAAAATAGATATAGTAATGTGCATAAATATAACATGTTAACTTATTTACTTATATAATGAAAAAGTGAAGAAGTTTTCATAAGCCTTAAATATGACATGAAATATCAATAAAAGTACTGGAAAGGACCTCTGTGATCATGTAGTTTAACCTGTTTATTTTATATGTAAGAAAAAGGAGGCCTAAGAAGAAAGGAAGCTTGTTCAAGACCCAGAGTGTTACAAAATAGCAGGTATATTTAATAAAGTAGGAAACAGGAAAACAGCAAATCTACAAGGTCTCTCAGTGTTCTTTCAGCTATTCCATACTGCCTCTAACATTTTTGTTCTTTTCTTTTTAAAAAATATTTTATTTATTTATTTTTAGAGAGGGACCAAGGGAGGGAGAAAGAGAGGGAGAGAAACATCAGTGTGTGGTTGCCTTTTGAGCATCCCATAAGGGGCACCTGGGCCACAACACGGGCATGTGCCCTGACTGGGAATCAAACTGGTGACCCTTCAGTTTGCAGGCTGGCACTCAATCCACTGAGCCACACTAGTCAGGGCTGTTCTTTTCTTAAGTGTGAAGATTTATGTGAGAACAGACAGAAAAAAGACAAAATGTCTGACAGTATTATCTGCAATCACTGGTGCACACAGTGTCACTTAGTAACTGAAGAAAGACTTAATTTAAAAATGAAAGATATAGTGAAGAGCAATAATCTTTTACTCAATACTTGTGAAAATGGAAGGAAAAAGAAGCTAACCAGGTGAGAATGGGGTCAATATTCAAAGAAAAGCGCAAAGAACTCAAGATTAGAAGAGAAAGATCTAAAAAGGAAGGAGATAAATAGCTTAGAGTGAATGATGAAAAGGGAAAACACAGATTCAAAGGACAAAAATTAGGTAATATAAGGTATTGATCTAATACATTTTAAAGTTCAGGATTTACACAGAAATCTAGAAACAGAACTATTCAGAAGAAGAAACACGATCCAAGGATTCAGAAGAAAAACAACAGTATACGAACTTACAATACTGAGCATCTATAAAACACCTAATATGCAGTTATACTTACTTGTAATCATTCAAGCAATAATCATCTTCAAGTTCCACATTATTCCAAATTAAGTGCTGTTGACAGATAGGAATACCTTAGGGAAAGGTTATTAAAAAATGGTTAAAAATTCAATAGAATCCTCAGAAGAATATGATACAAAACTATGTCATTAAAAAAATGAAGGAAATGGAGGAGAAAATTAAAGTGGAGCAGGAAGAGGGGAAAATAAACATACTTCTAAATTTAATGCTAAGTGTTTAGCTAAAATTTACAGAATCATAGGTTTATAAAAGACATGACTAGGACTTCCAGCCAAGATGGAAGTATAGGTAGATACACTTTGCCTCCTCACACAACCAAAAGAAGGACACCAACAAATTTAAAAACAAAAAATAGCCAGGACTACCAGAAAACTGAGCTGTATGGAAGTCCAACAACCAAGGAGTTAAAGAAGAAATATTCATCCAGACTAGTTGGAGGGGCAGAGAGGACTCACAGCAATGTGGCAGCTGGAGGACCAGCTTGGGCAATGCAGTATCTGGCAGACCAGGTAAGGTGGCTGCTGGTGGAATGGGAGGTCCCACATTTGCATGCAGATAAACTGGAAGGAACACCTGGGGAGCAAGACTGCATAACCCAGAGTTCCACCGTGGGGAAATAAAGCCTCAAAACCTCTGACTGAAAAAACCTGTGGGGGTTGTGGCAGCAGGAGAAACTCCCAGCCTCACAGGAGAGTTCGTTGAAGAGACCCACAGGGTACTAGAACATACACAAAGCTACCAACATGAGAATCAGCACCAGAAGGGCCCAATGTGCTTGTGGGTACTAGGGAAAGTGATGGAAAGCCAGTGGAGAGCTGAGTAAGCTGAATTGTTTCCTGTCTGACCTCTCCTGTACACACATTGACACAAAGCAGTAACACGAATTGCAATGCCCTGGCAAATACCTACGATTCCACCCCTTACTATGTAACAGGCACAACAAGACAAAAATATATGGCCCAAATGAAACAATGTACCAAAGCTCCAAAAACAGAACTAAGTGGTAAAGAGATAGCCAGCCGACTAGATGCAGGGTTCAAAACACTTGCAATAAGAATTAATATGGTCCCAAAATAAAGGAAGAAGTGAAGGCTATGCAAAATGAAATAAAGGAAAATGCACAGGGAACCAACAGTGACAGGAAGGAAACCAGGACTCAAATCAACAATTTGTCCCAGCAGGAAGAAATAAACATTTAACCACAATAGAATGAAGACACAAGAATTCAAAAAAATAAGGAGAGGCTGAGCAACCTTCAAGACAACTTTAAACATTCCAACATTCAAATCATTGTGGTGCCAGGAGGAGAAGAGGAAGAGCAAGAAGCTAAAAGCTTATTTGAAAAAATAATGAAGGAGAACTTCCCTAGTCTGACAAAGGAAATTAACTTCCAGGAAGTCCAGGAAACTCAGAGAGTCCCAAACAAGTTGGACCCAAGGAAGCACATACCAAGGCACATCATAATTACATTACCCAAGACTAAAGATGAGAGAATCTTAAAAGCAACAAGAAGACAGAAGAGAGTTACCTACAAAGGAGTTTCAATAAGACTATCAGCTGATTCCTCAAAAGAAACCTTACAAGCAAGACGAGCCTGGAAAGAAGTATTCCAAGTCATGAAAGGCAAGGACCTATATCCAAGATTACTCTATCCAGTAAAGTTGTCATTTGCAATGGAAGAGCAGATAAAGTGCTTCCCAGATAAGGTCAAGTTAAAGGAGTTCATCATCTCCAAGCCCTTATTATATGAAATGTTAAAGGGACATATCTAAAAAAAAAGGAGATGATTGAAACTATGATCAGTAAAATGACAACCTCACAACCACCAACAGCTGAACATAAACAGCACAAGAACAAAAACTGAGCAAATAACTAGAACAGCAACAGAATCACAGAAATAGAGACCACCTGGAGGGTTATCAGTGGGGAAGGGAGAGGGAAAGTGGGGGTAATAAGAAGCATATATGGTAGGTACAAAATAGGCAGGGGGAGGTTAAGAACAGTATAGGAAATGGAGGAGGCAAAGAACTTATATGTATGATTCATGGACATGAACTAAGGTTGGGGAATGCTGGTGGGAGAGGAGGGTGCAGGGCAGAGGGGAATAAAGAAGAGAAAAAATGGGACAACTGTAATAGTATAATCAATAAAACATATTTTAAAAATAAAACAATCATAAATTTAAAAATAGTAAAACATAAAAGGCATGGTTAAATGTCAATGTAGTCCAATCTATTCAATTTAGAAAAGAACAGTATATTTCAGTAACTCTCTGGCCTTGAAACAAGGGCCCCTTTAAAAGACAACTTATCATGAATCAGCCATAAGGAATTTAAGATTTAAAGCATAGAAGCCAGTTCTAAATGCTGCAAAGTACAGCCTTCATTTAGTTATATTCAGGGTTAAAAGTATGAGTGGGGATGAGAGAAATGGATAAAGGGGGTTAAAATGTACAAACTCCCATCTATAAAATAAGCCATATGAATGTAATGTACAACATGGGAACTACAATTAACAATACTGTGTCAAATATCTAAAGGTAGCTTAAGAGAGATCTAAAAATTTTCATCACAAGAAAAAAACTTGTAACTGTGTGCTGATGGATGTTAAGTAGACTTATTGTGGAGTTCATCTGCAATGACAAATACTAAATTGTTATGATGTACACCTGAAACTAAAGTAATATGTTAATTATAACTAAATAAAAATATAGAACATTTAGTTTACTGTCCTTAGGGGTTTGTACTCTAAAAATCAACAAACAACAAGTGTTTGTGGAGAGATTGTAGAGAAAAGGGAACTCTAGTGCTCTGTTGGTGGGAATGGAGACTGGTGCAGCCACTGTGGAAAACATTATGGAATTTCCTCAGAAAACTAAAAATGGATCTGCCTTTTGAGCCAGCAATACCACTGCTGGGATAATACCCTAAGAATCCTGAAACACCAATTTAAAAGAACTCATGTACCCCAATGGTCATAGCAGCACAATTTACAATAGCCAAGTGTTGGAAGTAATCTAAGTGTCCATCGGTAAATGAGAGGATTAAAAAACTGTGGTACATTTACACAATGGAATACTATGCAGCAGAAAGAAGGAGCTCCTACCCTGTGAGACACTATGGATGGAAATGGAAAGCATTATGCTAAGCAAAATAAGCCAGGCAGTGAAAGACAAATACTATATGATCTCACATATAAGTGGAACCTAATCACCAAAACAAACAATCAAGCAAAATACAAGCAGAGACATTGAAATAAAGAACAATCTGACAGTAACCACAGGGAAGGTGGGAGAGGGTAATGGGGGGGAAGGGAAGGGAGGGAAGGGTTTTCAGGAACAACTATAAAGGACATGTGGACAAAACCAGGGCAAGGTGGAAACAGGGGAGGGAGGTGGGGATGGCTGGGGTGGGTGGGGTGTGGTGGGGGGGGGGTAAATGCAGACAACTCTACTTGAACAACAATAAAATAATTTTTAAAAATCTATGGTACATTTACACAATGGAATGCTATGCAGCAGAAAGAAAGAAGGAGCTCCTACCCTTCATGATAGCATGAATGGAACTGGAGAGCATTATGCTAAGTGAAATAAGCCAGGCAGTGAACGAGAAATACCATATGATTTCACTTATAAGTGGAATGTAATCAACAAAACAAACAAGCAAGCAAAGTACAACCAGAGACATTGAAATGAGGAACAAGCTGACAGTGACGAGAGGAGTGGGGAGAAGGATAATGGGGAATAATAGGAGAAGGGCTATCAAGGAACCCATATAAAGGACACAAGGACAAAGCTGATGGGGATGGGGTTGGTTCGAGGGGGGGAGGTGGGGATGGGTAGGTTGAGGGGGGCGTGGTGGGGTGAAAATGAAGACAACTGTAATTGAACTGAATAAAAATATAAAGTAAAATAAAACTTTGTTCCAAGAGTAACATGCCCACATAGAATAATGATTGTATATGTATGAGTTTATTTGGTGGTTAAGATGGCATCTTTCACATCTTTTATGAATGGAAAGGTCAGTAATTTTGAAGAGGAGCATCAGAAAATAGTTTTAAAAAAACAATATATTACAAAATTTCTTGTATGTGATTATAGTTATAATTGTTTGTTAACAAGCTTTTCTGTAGGGCCTGAACACTAATTACAGAATAATTCAATATTGGGGGCAGTATATTCTGAACAATTTTCAATGCTGAAAATTATAGTATATAAGACTCTTCCTTTACATTTTTGTGATGTTAAAAGAATATTAAGTTATATACAATATTCCATCATAAATTATATTTTTTCTATAAAATAAGTTGACTAGAATAGCAACAGTAAGTGCTATTTACAAATATAGTCATGATCACATATCACTTAGTACAGCTTTGTATATAATAGTGAATAATTGGATAGGTGAAAATATCTTTTAATAGTAATAGAAATTTCTATTTTATCCAAATAGAAATTTGGGTAAAAATAAATTATGAGAGAAATATATATTAAAGTGCCATCCATTCGTTAAACACACACAAAAAATGTTTTAAGAGGAAATATGCCCAAAATGTTATGAATAGATTCTATAGGTCTAGAGGCTGGAAAGTCAAGATCAAGGTTCCAGCAAATTAGGTTTCATTGTGAGCCCTCTTCTTTTTGCCTGCAGGCATCTGATATTTTCCTGTATGTTCACATGACTTCTTTTCAAGTGTATACAGAGAAAAAGGTTTTCTGGTGTCTCTTCTCAAAAGGACACTAATCCCGTAAGTAGGTACCATCCTCATGACCTCATCCAATCCTAATAATGTCTCAATCATGTTTGCTTTGCCTTTTTTAGAGTTTTCATGCAGATATGTTTGTGTTGAGAATGTGTTTATATCTACATTTAGAAATAAACCAGAATCAGTAGGATTTATGGATAATTAAAGACAACACTATGACACAGTTCTCATCTCCCAATATTTCCTCGCAAACCAATACAGAATAAAAAGAAAGAAAATGATACAAAGAAACCATGCTCTTATCCCTCATATCTTGAAGTCAAACAATATCCAAACTTTCAAAATAACT